GCATTGGTATTTTCTTTCGTTTACGCATGGCAACGTTGATTTAAATACCTCTTTAAGGGAAAAGATCGATATTCAGTTTGTCACCTTTTGACTAGCATTTCGACTGAGCACTCATTCCGCTGAACTATCTCGTCTGTAACAGTCACAGGCAAAGATTCTTCGATACTGACCGTCAACCAGTTCAACTCAGCCAATTCCATCAGAAATGCGAAACGATCATCGATGGTACAAAAGTGGCGGCGATTATTTTCTAATTTTCTGTAGCAGAATGATTCATGTGGTTCTTCCAGCACCCCCGCTATCTCTTTCATCTGAATTTTAGAGCATATATCTATTTCAGGCCGTGCTACCGTCGTATGGATGAAGACAACGCATATCTGAATATTAATATTTTTAGACCAAAAAATCGACTCTTGGGCTTGTTTTATGTATATCAGTCATGTCACCATCGAATTTTTTAGGGTGGGTATTCCGAAATGATGTTATACAGCCTGACGCCACGACCATGGTCACAACGCTGTTTTGATTTTTGAATACTACTGCGTGGCAAAGAAACAAGACACTGCGTGCTGCGTCTATCATACAAACATAGTTTGCATTCATAAACAATAAAACACTCCGGGCTCATGGCACTGAAACGGATACATTTTATGCTGCGATAATGCCAAATGATGCCTTCCGTTAAAAAAGATGAAAATGTGGATATACAAACATGGGTAAATCGCAGAGCCAGACGTCTCAAGTTTTCAACGTCCAAGCGATGCAACGGGTGTTACCGCCTTTTCATTCCTAAAATAGTCCATCAAGTATTATAAAAAATAAATCCCGGTATTATTGGTTCGCTAACAAACTACTAATTCTCAACGCAGCCGGTCAGAATAATACTTTCCTGTCACGTCTCTGGATATACACGGCTTAGCACATCGTCCAATTGGTTCGAATAGCCTATGGGACCGTTTAAGCAAGCCATGGCTCAATGATATTTTAGTACCCAGAGTGTGTGGACCAAAAACGGCATTTGTGGGATCGACAAAAACATGTTCAAATACCAATAAATATATCTCGATCCGTAGCCAATATAATACCAATTAACCCCGTGTTATGGGTTAGTTTGACAATTGCTAGTTTTTCGATAGCACTGGCAAGAATATCAGTTTCCTGTCATTTCTCTGAATTCGTACGGCGTAGCTGCGCCGTTTTCTAACCCTTCTAGTAAATTGGAGAACCGCTTAAGCAGATAACAGCTCCGTTATCATGGACGGATTTCAACTCTTGAAGGCGGCATTTCAGTAGTAGCAGTTTGCCAGCAAATCCATGACTCCCATGTTTATTTTAACAATACATGCGCATGGGCTGAGGTATATGCGTTAATGTTCATGTAGGCTTTTGCTCGACCCAATAAAATAGTGCAGTGTCGAGCCAATGCATCGCACGTGCTAAAATTTCATGGAGAACCCATTAAGTAACTGTTAAGGTCTTCTGTTAATATTCAAGTGCCTTTCTAGACAGAACTGCCTTGAAAAATATGGAAGCTCTGTCAGTAATGATTACCAGATTCCAGCTTTATTAGCTGTTCATCTTAAAGTACACGGATACCGTAACTTCTCAAAACTACTTACTCCGTCTTATCACACAATACTGCAATTCGTTGGTCGCACACACTCCGTGATGAAAACGCTAGAGTTGCACGGTGTAGCGCTTTATGCAAAGAAAGTATCATAAACAGAACTAATCATCAAAGCAGCTACACAATATTACTAATACTGAAAGAAAGCCCTAATTCGTCAAAATCACAATCCTTTTCACCCGACCGGCGAAACCTCCTCCGCGAATCTTCGATCGGAACGTAAGTTAGTAAGGCGAATGTGTTAATTTCAATATACTACTCAATTGAGTAAAATGCCAGTCAAACTGAAATAGTATCATATAGCAGAAATTTTTTCTTTCAGCTAGTTATATCGGATTTACACGGCGAAAAATGTAAAGTAAATGTTGTTACTTTACGACGATACTGCGGCCGGTAAAACAAACGGCAGTCATCGAGCACCGGGTTATACCGTAATAATGCACAGTCCCTTTGCATCTAATCGCTTGGGGTAAGGGGGGGCATTTAAGCAGGTCACGGCTGAATGTTATTTAAACGACTACAGCGCAGAGGACGCATACGCCGCATCACTGAGCTGGGTCGTGGAACTTGAACAAATGAAAATGTGTAGCATGCCTAGCTGACAGTAATACTCCCGTGGACTGATCATTATAGCAGCTGCTGGGGAACATGCCTGTGGAACACGTGCCGGTGGTGAATGCGTAACTTCTCTAGCGTTAGAAGCAGAGGTACAAAAAATAATTCGTTGTTGGAAGGGTCTTTGGACGTACCTTTCTGCTGTTCCACCTGCCGGTGTACTCATAATCAAAAATAAAGTTGCGTCATCCCAAAATGCAGACAATTCTTCAAGCTGACGGGATGGATCCTAACCGCTGTAGAGAGCTCAGTGCGCTACTACATATGGACAATGGTTTGATCGATTTACCAACTGCTGCAGTGCAGACCTCTATTTTTAACAAATTGAAAGAATATAATCAAGCAAAAGTACCTTCCGGCATCACAGTCAGACAACGTGTGGTTAATTATACAGAAAAGAAATGGGGGACAAAACCAAGGTCTGCAATCGTTAGGATGTATTTTGCCCGTAAACCAATGTGATTCGTAAACGATTATTTCATGAAACTTACGATATGGTGCGCTAAGTCGCCGCCATTTGAGGGGGAGGCCGTAAAACAATGTGTTAGTAGATTGCTGTGCACGTTAGTGTGCCGTTTCAAACCCAATGCATTGCGTCATTTTTCTCGTAATAACTACTGATTCCCTTGAGCAGGAAATTCATCTCACTGCGCTTCGGAGTGGTCAAATCGAAACGTCTGAAACGTACGGCCATGCTGTATGATGCGTGCGCTTCACGGCAGTAATTCGTCGCCCTGACCCACATTATGACTGACTACATATTAGCAACAGGTCTAAACGTGAACAAAAAATTGTCATCAGGCAGGGGTGTCAATTTCTGAAGGCACCGTCAACAACGCAGTGGTTACTAGGGCCTGTACTCTCCCATTTCCTATTGTCTTCCCACGTTGTGATACTCATTAGCATAATCTAAAATAATGAAAAGCGGGTTATCCCCCCGGTCAGGATTCGAATCCCAACATTTTCCGACTGAGAGCCCGACGGTCCACCAGGTGAACAGCTACGAGATGGCAACCTCAGTGTCAACTGCTATGCATTTTCCCGTTTTCTTCCATTATCATACAGTGCACTTCCTTGACCTATTAGTAAAACAAAGGAAGAAGAAAACAGTATTAAAGTTATTCGATATTATGTCACATGAAAAACCGAACTCTCAAAAGAAGTGCGGTGACAACGTGGCTAAGAGCTTTCAACTCCGAAAGTACCAGGTTCGAATCCGCTCAAGGAACAACCCTTATCTTTACCGAAAATTCCCTTAAGCAAGGAATTAACTCCACGGTGCTTCGGCACAACAAGCCGAGAAACGAGTAGTAAGTCGGTGATTTGGGACATCATGGTATTCTAGCAAGGTCATGTCAGAATAGACGGCGTTCAGCTATGCACTCTGTTGTGAGCACCGCTTTTAGCTGCAGTTTGCCTTGACCTAGCGGATAGCTGACTATCCCGTTTAATAATATCAGCAAAAGTAACCCCGATTTCGATTAGCAGATAAAGTCAGATCAGATTATAAGTAACAGGCACTCGACTACACTGCTTGGACAACTAATTATACACAATTATAGTCGTATGAATAAGGAAAACAACGGAAAACAACACTTCAACAGCGCATATTCAATTCAGTAAAACATTTTCCCGACGTTCATTACCGATTCCTTACATTCAACGATGCACGTTATAGGAAGGTTTCCTGTATTTGTGAAACGGTGATGGGTAAGTACATATAATCGAATTTACTCGTTTCCAGCATAGGAGATTAACATGCGGAAGCTCATGTCAGTATTGTCCAAAAATGTACAACAGCAAGCAGACCAGTCGGTAAACCTACGTCTTCGTTGCGGCTTCCGTTCCCCCGGCGATTGACATTCCAAGTGTGCTCTTCCGCGTGGCTTTAATCAATTTTCGGATGTTTTTACAGTTTGTTGATTCTGCTTCTCGTGTTTTCTGCTGTATTCTATTCATAAGTGTCTCCGCATTGTTCCACGCTTCATTTCCTTTGTTTGTCCTTTGTCTTTCCTCGTGCCGCCATCTCGTTTGCTTGGGATCGATTCTGCAACAGTCCATCGTTGTCCGTAGGTTGGGTTTTGCCTTTTTTTCTCTTTCATTCTTCTTTACGTTCGGGCTGTTAACTTCCGTAGGCTTCGTGCTACTTCATGCGATGACGTAGTCGTTAATATTCGTGTTTCTTGCGCCCGCCATCTTGTTACATATTTTCTGTTATTCACCGTAGAGGCTGTTTGTCGTCCATCCGTTGTTTT